CCTTAACTTCACATTCACCCCCTTAACATTTACCCCCTAACCTTCACATTCACGCCCTAACTTTCGTATTTCTTCACAGTTACCCCTTTAACTTCACATTTACCCCTTTAACTTCACATTCACCCCCTTAACTTCACATTTACCCCTTTAACTTCACATTCACCCCATTAACTTCACATTCACCCTTTTAACTTCACATTCACCCTTTTAACTTCACATTCACCCCTTAACATCACATTCTCCTTCAACTACATTCACCATAACATCATTCTCCCTTTAACTTCACATTCTTTGCTTCACATTACCCCTTGGCCGTTGCCTTTTAACCACATTCTCCTTCTTCATTCCTTTCTTCCACATTTCACCCCTTAACTTCATTCACCTTAACATGCATTCTCCTTCACATTTCACCTTAACTACATTCACCCCTTCTTCACATTTTACCCCTTAACATCATTCTCCCCTTCTTCACACATTCTTATAACTTCATTCTTTTAACTTCACATTCTCCCCTTTAACTTCACATTCACCCCTTTAACTTCACATTCACCCCCTTAACTTCACATTCACCCCCTTAACATCACATTCTCCCCTTTAACTTCACATTCACCCCCTTAACTTCACATTCACCCCTTTAACTTCACATTTACCCCTTAACATCACATTCTCCCCTTTAACTTCACATTCACCCCCTTAACATCACATTCTCCCCTTTAACTTCACATTCACCCTTTAAACATCACATTCTCCCCTTTAACTTCACATACACCCCTTTAACTTCACATTCACCCCTTTAACTTCACATTTACCCCCTAACCTTCACATTCCCTTAAGAATTTGCTCATGATTCACTGCGACACAAAGTAGGAGATCTTCAGCTTTCTTGAAAATGAGCTTTGCATATTGGAGCATATTGTCGAGGGTAGGAGGGAGGCTGTTGGCTCCGTCCATCACCTACCCTCGAGTGCTGACGTCTGGTTGTTGTTGCTGTCCTAGTTAGAATCTTGGGATCACCTGAAGATTCGACACCCTCGCCCTATCGTTACTATATATACACTACCTGTTTTATTCACCTGAAGATTCGACATCCTCGCTACTTACCTGTTTACTTCACCTAATGATTAACCTCCATTTTGCTATTTGGAGGGGCTTGGGTAGGGCAGGTTAGAATTGGTTTGTTAGTTTAGCGTTGTGTTAGGTTTGGTTTGGTTAGAATTGGGTAGGTTTGGTTAGCGTTGGGTTAGGCTTGGTTTGGTTAGGTTAAGTTAGGTTAGTGTTACGGTGGTTAATCTTCAGGTGTAAGCTGGTGGAGAGCGAACATTCAGGTGGTCAGTACAGGTGTGTAGTGGGAGGTGTAACACTTCTATATAAACCCAATATTGATACAAGTTTAAATCATTCCATTAAGACAATTTTACCTCACTAACACCTAACCTAACCAAATTTAACCTAAGCTAACCTAAGCTAACCTAACCTAACTTATGAATGTACACACATGCAATTATCTTGGGCCTTAAATTGGAAATATATTTTTTTTTGCCGTCTGTTATGCAAATTCATATTGTCGTGGTCTGAAATTGTTTTTGTTAGGTACGTTACAAACTGAAAGTCTCGGAACTGTAACCACCATTACCTGGAATTATTTTGGCTGTAACTTACCTGTAATTGAAGTTTTGTATCAACATAATATTCAGCACCTGTAATTTAGCCGAGTTGTATCCACGAAGTGTCGCCTCGTAATGTTATGAGTTTTATTGTTTGGAGAATACTAAAGTCGTGTGTGTGTGTGTGTGTGTGTGTGTAACTGAAATGAAACATGTAAATAATGAAGAACAAGAAGAAGTCTACACTCGCTGAACTATTCATCAGAAGAATATAATGTCCTACCTTTAAGTGATGATGATGATGATGATGATGATGATGATGATGATGGCGTTAACGAATCAATTTTATATTTATGATTTAATTAACTGCTTAAAAAAATCTTGTGTTATGATTTAGACCAGACCGTACTTGTCCTTAACGTGTATCAGGTGACAGTATGGAGACGAACACACAGATGTAAATAAAATATATATAAGACAATATCCCCCCCAACCCCTCCCCTTCCCCCTTCCTTCCCCCTCCCCTTCCCTCCCTTCCCTTCTCCTCCTTCCCCAACCCCTCCTTCCTTCCCAACCCCTACCCCCTTCCCCAACCCCTCCCTTCCCCTTCCACTTCCTTCATCATCCTCACTCCCCCCTCCGCCCTCCCCCTCCCCTCCGCCCATTCTCATCTCATTCTCCCTCCACCCTCTGTCTCCTCCCCTCCCTTTCTTATACGACCCTCAAGTAGATGTCATATAATGTCAAAAGTGTCCAGGAAACTTTGTCCATAACTGTACAATAATTAGACATTACCCTCACCTTCAGGGCACAAGTGGCCATAACCCCAGTTGACCCCCCCCCACACACACACACCCAGGGTTATCATAAACACAGGAATGAGAGAGCAAAGTGTGTGTGTGTGTGTGTGTGTGTGTGTGTGTGTGTGTGTGTGTGTGTGTGTGTGTGTGTGTGTGTGTGTGTGTGTGTGTAACCAACCTGATTTGTTTACCTGCGCTCCACCCACCATCAACCACCACCACCAGCACCATCAACCACCATCAACCACCACCAACCACCACCATCCTCAGTTGCATGACAGCATTTCAGCCATTTATTACAACGTTCAAGTGCTTTAGATCTCCGGGGAAATATGTAAAATGAGGAACCTCTCATCTGGTGTGTATGTGTGTGTGTGTGTGTGTGTATCATGGCCACAACAACTCGCTGCCTCGAGATATTTGCAGCTTGATTTTGAGGAGGTGTGGTTAAGTCGTCAGGTTGGTCGCTAGTGGTATGTCAACCGGGTATGTGGGTGGGGCAAGAGGGAGGAGACGTGTGTGTGTGTGTGTGTGTGTGTGTGTGTGTGTGTGTGTGTGTGTGTGTGTGTGTACCTTCGCCTAAAGCTGAACACATGAGACATCTCCCACACGAACACTTTCCTCATCTGTCTCAGGTAGAGTACAGACACCCGGAGATAACGTCATTGCGATAAACTCCTGTAGAAGCTGTGTGTGTGTGTGTGTGTGTGTGCCCTAGTCTATACCCACACACTCTAATAATACCCGCATACACCTCTTCAGTGTCAAGGATGAGTTGGCGGATTTTCTCAACTCTACTAATGACGAATATGAATATTTAACATGATGAAAAAAGTTAAAAAGTGGGTCATATTACTTGTAACCGCCTTCACTCCCTCCAGTTTGTGAAGTCAAGTACATATTTACACCTAGCTGGACTGAGAGTACCCGTGATATCGAACCAGTGACCCTTAGGACAAGAGGGGAGTACTGTATCCACTCCGCCACCGCATACCTGACCAAATCACCCGAATCATGAGTTTGTTTTGAGCTCACTTGACACCTTCGGGTAATATTGTCCTCGTCGGGTTCCTCTAAGGGTTGATCACTGGGGTCAGAGGTGGGGGTCGTATACAGAATCAGGTGAGCGAGGTTGTGGGCAGACGGGAGAATGTCTTATTAAACTGCATCTCTCTCTCTCTCTCTCTCTCTCTCTCTCTCTCTCTCTCTCTCTCTCTCTCTCTCTCTCTCTCTCTCTCTCGGAAACAATTGAACGTATACTAAAGCCAAGATGTAATTAGAGAAAGTTTAATTCGTGTTTGGTTTGGCTTGGCTTGGGGAGGTTAACTATGGCTAGGTTAGATTAGGTCAGGTCATGTAAGATCAGGTCAGGTTAAATTAGGTTTGCGTACGACAAGTTAAAAATATGTAAATATGTATTCGGATTTTAACATCACTAAATATGTACTAAATATGTACTCTGTTATACTACTTACACATATGGACCCAGATAGTTATATTCAGAGGGGTATTACAATCACCAATACTGTGTGTGTGTGTGTGTGACCTCTTAACATAACTGGTCCTATAGTTTAGTTTAGATGGAGGTGAAACTTGGCGGACAACATCAGTGGCGCTCGAAAAGATGTGTGTGTATGTTAGTCAGGTCACAAGGTCAAAGGTCAGGGTCAGAATGTTAGGGTTTATCCACGAACTTCCAGCAGGTGTTTTTGTGTTTATTCTTGATATATTTATAAACTTGTGTAAAATTCTGGCTTTATACATAATGCAACGTATATCATACATATTATATAGCGCACATGTATACTATCTACACTGATTAAATATATATACATTGTTTATACCAGTTGTGTGTATGGAAGGTCTAACAGTATGATTACTTTTGTCTATATTGATAAAAATTATTATTATTATTATTATTATTATTATTATTATTATTATTATTATTATTATTATTATTATTATTATTATTATTATTTTTATTATTATTATTATTATTATTATTATTATTATTATTATTTTATTATTATTATTATTATTATTATTATTATTATTATTATTATTATTATTATTATTATTATTATTATTATTATTATTATTATTATATTTTATTATTATTATTTATTATTATTATTATTATTATTATTATTATTATTATTTTATTATTATTATTATTATTATTATTTTATTATTATTATTATTATTATTATTATTATTATTATTATTATTATTATTATTATTTTTATTATTATTATTATTATTATTATTATTATTATTATTATTATTATTATTATTATTATTATTATTATTACATTATTATTATTATTTTTATTATTATTATTTTATTATTATTATTATTATTAATTATTATTATTATTTTTATTATTATTATTATTAATTATTATTATTATTATTATTATTATTATTATTATTATTATTATTATTATTATTATTATTATTATTATTATTATTATTATTATTATTATTATTATTATTATTATTATTATTATTATTATTATTATTATTATTATTATTATTATTGTTAAAATATTTATAACCAGATGTACTAATAAATTATTTTTCTTTCTATTTTCAGATACGTGGAAAGAACTGAACCATACGAAACAACCACACGCTATATACATACACACAAACACACACATACCCACACGCACACAGTCCTAATGGCAGTGAGAGTGACCGCGCTTTTTATAATTTACACTGTGTACTTAGGAGTTACTGAACCCCGGTGTTGAAACTTGGTGTAATTGTGTGACCTTTTCAAGAGTGATAAGACGAAGTGCTTAAGACATTGGTAGTTCAAAGTACTTATTACGAGGTGGTGGTGTTGTTGTGTCGAGTGTTGCATTAATGTGTATTTTGTGGTGGTTAGCTTAAGTGTCTGAAAAAAAAAACTATTGGTTTTAAATAACTGTATAATAACGGTAAATTTTAATTGACTGAAAATTTTTAATTAAGTTCTAGTGTTGAAAATGGATTTGTAAATGTGTATAAACAAATAAACAATAATAATAATATAACAAGACTACATGGCTAGATAAACAAGTGTTAAGACAAGGAAAATAAGACCCCCCCCCCCCACCACCTCCCCCAGCATTATTTGCACACGTAAGAGGTGTCAAGGAGGACTATGATTTGCTGGACGGGTATGACGTCAGCGGCCTCAACCAGCCAATGGGCAGGGCGGTACCTTCTCCTTGTCTTCTGCTTGTGGCTCCAGGACGCGACGCCCCTCACCAGCGTCAAAAGTAAGTGTTCTTCAGCCTTCAGGGTCCACACAGCCCCTCGCCATGAATGTTCCTCGCGGCTCAAGATGTAAGAATGCACTTAAATAGTCGACTTAAGTTAAAACGCAAGAACAACGTCCAAAACTCCTATTAAATTAACGCAGAGACTTAACCTTAGCTTAGTCAAGATGCAAGAATTCACTGAACTGTTTCACCTAAGGTAAAACACGAAAATTTTAAAACTAGTGTTAAATTATTACTGAGATTCTCCATTAACTAGATAGATAGACAGACAGGTGGGAGTCTTTTAAGAAATAGTGTCCTTAAATCTGTACTTTGACTGGTGTAAACAGACATTGCCGCCATCTTACATCATCAGTTACGAGGAATATTTATCTTACGAACATTTTTTTTTTTTTTTTCTTAGAATCTGATCTTAATTTTATTCATTGTTTTTACTCTTGTTTTGATATTCTTCATGTCTTGTTATCATTGGATATAAACACCGTATATATGCTGCGACGTGTAGTGCTTATACAATGATTTTCAAATATATTAATGTGAGTTCATATATACTGTATAACGTGTGTGTGTGTGTGTGTGTGTGTGTGTGTGTGTGTGTGTGTGTGTGTGGTGTGTGTGTGTATAGTGATTTTGTATACAGAATGACTGCGCCTCATGTATTGTGTTTATGGATACAACGTGTATGTCTATGTGTACATTTAATGCATATATAAAACGTATGTGTGTATGTTCAACGTATATGTGTATATATTCAACGTATGTGTGTATATATTCAACGTATGTGTGTATATATTCAACGTATGTGTGTATATATTCAACGTATGTGTGTATATATTCAACGTATGTGTGTATATATTCAACGTATGTGTGTATATATTCAACATGTGTGTATATATATTCAGCGTATGTGTGTATATATTCAACGTATGTGTATATATTCAACGTATGTGTGTATATATTCAACGTATGTGTACATATATAAAACGTATGTGTGTATGTTCAACGTATATGTGTATATATTCAACGTATGTGTGTATATATTCAACGTATGTGTGTATATATTCAACTTATGTGTGTATATATTCAACGTATGTGTGTATATATTCAACGTATGTGTATATATTCAACGTATGTGTGTATATATTCAACGTATGTGTGTATATATTCAACGTATGTGTGTATATTCAACGTTTGTGTATGTATTCATCCTTCATGTGTATACAGTAATTTCGAACACAGACAATACAACAATCTGCTCTTTTTTGTCTGCTGTTCAAACTGAATTAACACACGATTTTCTGGTACTTGACTCCGTAGTGTGTAGAGGAGCACAGTACTCGTGTTTATAGGGCCGTGTGCTGGATGACAACGGTATGATGGTCACCTGTAGATTAGACATCCTAACCATGATTAAGCTCCATAATATTACCTGGGGGGGTTAGGTTAGGTTAGGTCAGGTTAGGTCCTTTTAGGTTAAGATTATTTTAGGTTTGATTAGTTATTTTTTTATTCTAGGTCAAGTTAAATTAGGTTAGGTTAGGTTAAGTTAAGTTAGGTCCCTTTAGGTTAGATTAGGTAATTTTATGCTAGATCAACTTAAATTAGGTTAGGTTAAGTTAAGTTAGGTCCCTTTAGGTTAGATTAGGTAATTTTATGCTAGATCAACTTAAATTAGGTTAGGTTAAGTTAAGTTAAGGATTCCTTTAGGTTAGATTGGAGTAATTTTATGCTAGATCAACTTAAATTAGGTTAGGTTAAGTTAAGTTAGGTCCCTTTAGGTTAGATTAGGTAATTTTATGCTAGATCAACTTAAATTAGGTTAGGTTAAGTTAAGTTAGGTCCCTTTAGGTTAGATTAGGTAATTTTATGCTAGATCAACTTAAATTAGGTTAGGTTAAGTTAAGTTAGGTCCCTTTAGGTTAGATTAGGTAATTTTATGCTAGATCAACTTAAATTAGGTTAGGTTAGCTTTAGGGTAATTAATCATCTGGTGTAATAAGCTGGGGCCCGTCCAATCTTCAGGTGATCCCAATCTTGTCTACCTGCGTGTCCTCTCAGCACTTACACCACTAGCACCATGCCTGAACCCAGCGTGGTGGATATTACATGATGTATTTTCTGTAACTATCTCTCTAAATACATAATTACATGATATGGATTTATAACACTGTATTTTCCAAGGGTGAATATTTCGTAAAAAGTTTGTAAAAAGATTTTAGCCTTATAATTTTGTTCGTAAGTAGCGTATTACGTAGAAATTAGGAGTGCGGTGTATCAGTGTTTAATGATAATGTTTGCCACAGTGTTTATACAAGGCAGAAAAAAAACCCACAAAGAGTATAGGGTGGTGGAACGGCTCTGGTGTATGGGCTGGGAGCATGCAACCTCTCGTCTGTTTGGGCAGCAAGAACTGTTTTACCTGTTTACACCTGTTTATTTATTTATTTATTTATTTATGTAACTCAGGGTGTCTGTCAGTAACTCAGGGTGTCTGTCAGTAACTCAGGGTGTCTGGCAGTAACTCAGGGTGTCTGTCTGTCAGTAACTCAGGGTGTCTGTCTGTCAGTAACTCAGGGTGTCTGGCAGTAACTCAGGGTGTCTGTCAGTAACTCAGGGTGTCTGTCAGTAACTCAGGGTGTCTGTCAGTAACTCAGGGTGTCTGTCAGTAACTCAGGGTGTCTGGCAGTAACTCAGGGTGTCTGTCTATCCAGTAACTCAGGGTGTCTGTCTGTCAGTAGCTAACTCAGGGTGTCTGGCAGTAGCAGGGTGTCTGTCAGTAACTCAGGGGTGTCTGTCCAGTAACTCAGGTGTCTGTCAGTAACTCAGGGTGTCTGTCAGTAACTCAGGGGTGTCTGGCAGTAACTCAAGGTGTCTGTCAGTAACTCAGGGTGTCTGGCAGTAACTCAGGTGTCTGTCAGTAACTCCAGGGTGTCTGTCTGTGTCAGTAACTCAGGGTGTCTGTCAGTAGCTTTCCAGAGGTGTCTGTCTGTAACTCAGGGTGTCTGTCAGTAACTCAGGTGTCTGTCAGTAACTCAGGGTGTCTGGAGGTAACTCCCAGGGTATCTGTCCGGTAACTCCAGGGTGTCTGTCTGTCAGTAGCCAGGGGTGTCTGTCGGTAACTCAGGGTGTCTGTCAGTAACCCAGGGTATCTGTCAGTAACTCAGGGGTGTCTGTCAGTAACCCAGGGTATCTGTCAGTAACTCAGGGTGTCTGTCAGTAACCCAGGGTATCTGTCAGTAACTCAGGCGGTAACTCCAGGGTGTCTGTCGAGTAACTCCAGGGTGTCTGTGCTCAGGGTATCTGTCAGTAACTCAGGGTGTCTGTCTGTCCAGTAGCTCAGGGTATCTGTCAGTAACTCAGGGTGTCTGTCAGTAACCCAGGGTATCTGTCAGTAACTCAGGGTGTCTGTCAGTAACCCAGGGTATCTGTCAGTAACTCAGGGTGTCTGTCAGTAACCCAGGGTATCTGTCAGTAACCCAGGGTGTCTGTCAGTAACCCAGGGTATCTGTCAGTAACTCAGGGTGTCTGTCAGTAACTCAGGGTGTCTGTCATATAGGCTTGACTTCATATATCACACAAGGTAAGGTAAGACAGTTGTATTTCTGTGAGATGGATATTTATAAGCCAGTTGTTGTTGTTGTTTATGTCGAGCTGGCACAATAGACATTACATAGACTGACTCACACCGGGTATGAGTCACATTACAGTCTGACTCACACCGGCTATGAGTCACATTACAGTCTGACTCACACCGGGTATGAGTCACATTACAGTCTGACTCATACCGGGTATGAGTCACATTACAGTCTGACTCACACCGGCTATGAGTCACATTACAGTCTGACTCACACCGGCTATGAGTCGCATTACAGTCTGACTCACACCGGGTATGAGTCACATTACAGTCTGACTCACACCGGCTATGAGTCGCATTACAGTCTGACTCACACCGGCTATGAGTCGCATTACAGTCTGACTCACACCGGGTATGAGTCACATTACAGTCTGACTCACACCGGGTATGAGTCACATTACAGTCTGACTCACACCGGCTATGAGTCGCATTACAGTCTGACTCACACCGGGTATGAGTCACATTACAGTCTGACTCACACCGGCTATGAGTCGCATTACAGTCTGACTCACACCGGGTTACGTGAAGATTAGACACCCTAATTTATTTCACCTGGTGATTAAACTCCCTGATTACTTTGTTTTTTGTAATCGTACTCAAGGGTTAAGTCGTCGTACTCAAGGGATTAAGTAGTCGTCGTCAAGGGATTAAGTAGTCGTCGTCAAGGGATTAAGTCATCGTAATCAAGGGCTAAGTTATCATACTCAAGGGGTTAAGTCATCATAAATAAAAATAAAAGATATGAACGTTAGATCATTAATAAAACCACAAGAAAAAATTGCAGTATATGCAAATTAATTACAGAAGACTGAAACAATAATTCGAATGAAAAAAAAAGCTTTGAAAATCACAATATTGACAAAAGGAAAAAAAGTGAGAAAAAAAATAATAATAACATAATTACTGTGGGAGTTATTTCAATAATTAGGGATTCGTAATGTGAATAATTTTACTGGTGAATAATTTAGTAAGACAAGACAGGCACGTGGGTGAATGTTACTGTATAATTCTTTGAAGTCGGGAATTATAATTAATCTTCAACTTATAATCTGCAGGTATAACTGTACTCATTAACCTGGATATATCTTGGTATATTTTTTACACGGGATTTTACCTCGTGTGTGTGTGTGTGTGTGTGTGTGTGTGTGTGTGTGTGTGTGTGTGTGTGTGTGTGTGTGTGTGTGTGTGTGAATATTTGTATGTATATTTGTGTGTAAGTCTGTATGTATGTGTTTGTAATCTGTGTATACATTTGTATGTGTATATGTGTGTGTGTCTAAATCTGTATGTATACCTATATGTGTGCGTCTGTGTATGAGTACGTGTTTATCGTGTGTGTGTGTGTGTGTGTGTGTGT